ACACACACACACACACACACACACACACACACACACACACACACACACACACACACACACACACACACACACACACACTCACTTATATGTGCCCTAAATGGGTTTTTCTTATATATTCAAAAATGTGTTGTATTTGTGAGTGTATCCATATTATTATATTATTGTCAGACACTTGCAAACATCATTGAAATTAAGGAAACAACAAAACAAATATTTTCATTCACACAAAATAAAATTCTACATACTGTAACACACACACACACACACTCACTTATATGTGCCCTAAATGAGTTTTTCTTATATATTCAAAAATGTGTTGTATTTGTGTGTGTATCCATATTATTATATTATATATAAAATATAATTTTTATTATTAAATATTATATTTAGTATTATACATATTAAAATGTTATTAAACAATTTGAATAAAAAAACATTTTTATTACATGTAAATACAAATTATGTTTTTTATTTCTATATATATATATTTTATTTTTTTATTGTTTAAATATATTTTTTTACTTGTTATGTATGACTAAATATTCACTACAAAAATGTATGTGATTCTTTACTATTTTTAATTCTTTTAAGATTTTCCATGCTTTGAAATCACAATTTTAATAGGCACTGAAATTTCCAGGGTTTTTTTTCTCTCTTATTTGCTATTGAGTAAGTAATTCCATATTACTCATACTCACACTGTAACATGGACTCTGTCTAGGAACAAACATTCATGGAATGAAAATGTATTACTCCCAAATATTTTTTCCCACACATTTGACAGGCATTTGTAGCAAAACTTCACTGAAATGAAGAAAACCATCAACAAAACAAAGGGCAGGTCACGTTAACAGAAGAACCTGACCTGTTGGTGAGGTCACAGCGGGTTTCCAGATAAAGCAACCCCGGCCTCGTCTCCTCTATCAGCTGCTGAATGACTGGAGGATGGCATGGAGCAACCTCGAGGTAAACACGCCTGGGCAGACAAAGGCATTTCAAAGCATAAGAGAGGAAAAGATTGGGTGGAGAAGACGTTTTACCAAGTAAACAATCTCGTAAGCCATTAGTCATGAAGAATAGTATGTCTGAGACGGAAAATCTAAAAGCTAATGCTAGGATATAACCCCATTCAATAGAGGTTCTCAATATCTATGAAAGGACAGCATGTGTCATTTCTACGAAAGAAACAAGTCTTGAGTGGACACATACGACACCCAAGGAAATCTGAAACCCTATATAGACCATTTGACGTTCACTGACTAGAAAAACGACACGTACAATGCTCTCAGGCCATTACGAGTTTATGACTCATCTGTTCGGTGAAATTTTACAGGCATGGAATATGATTGTTTTACACAAGACAGGTTTTGCAACTCTCATCACCAAATGCTAATTGTGTTATTTGTTATTGTGTATGCATGTGTGTATGTGTATGTCTTGGGAGTGATGAGGGTGGGAAGAGTACTGGGAGAACGTTCTAGTCCCTGGAATACTGTTATCTACTGAACTACAGAGAACTGTGTAGCACTCGATTCCCTGAAGCATTTAAGATATGCTGGGAAAACTTCTTAGCGCGATTATACCATACTATTTATACTGCATTCGGCTAAAAGGCCACACACACAAGAATATTCAAAGAGAACCAGTCTCTCTGCCAGACCACATATGATGGTTTTAGACAAACACAACACTTCTTACCCTCGCTGAGTTAAGAGCTTCGAGCTCAGAGCCAGAATCGGGCGAATCATAGACAGCCTGTCCAAACCCCCGTCCAATGCACTGTGGTCTTCAAACCTTCAAGGGAAGAGGTGGGGACAGTTAAAAGGTTACATGAGACATTCTCAAACAGGCACGTCAAAGGTTAAAGCACATTTTGAGCATGTACCTAACCTGAGTATCTCTGTTTGTAAAGTCTCCATGTCCTGACTGAGCAAGTAGGGAGGGTTGCTGACTAGAAAGTCAACGGGGTCTCATTTGCTCAGTATCGCATCTGCATCTGGGAATACAAAACACATTTTGTTCTGTCGCTGTCACATGCAAAACTTATATTTGCACTGGAAATTAAAAGCTTGTAAACTAAACAACAATATTGAACAAGATAATAATTATACGAATGCAATATGTAGCATCTGGGATATATTCAGTAGTTGTCCCTATATATATATATATATTTTGCAGATTTATTAAAAAAGAAAAACTGAAATATCACATGGTCCTAAGTATTCAGACTTCTCAATATTTAGATTTTCAAATAGTTGTATCTTGGTCAAATATTGTCCCTTCCAAAAAAAGCTTTCAGATGATGTATACATCTCAATTTCAAAAAATTTACCCTTATGACTGGTATTGTGGTCCAGGGTCACACACACACATATTATATGTATACACACATACTACCGTTAAATAGTTTGAGGTCAATAGGATTTTTTTTTTAAAGAATTCATATTCAGCAGGGATGCATTTTTTTTAATCAAAAGTGACAAACAGCATTTATATGGGTCAAAATTATTGAGTTTTCTTTTATGCCAAAATTCATTAGGATATTAAGTAAAGATCATGTTCCTACTGTAAATATATTAAAACTTAATTTTTGATTAGTAACATGCATGGCTAAGAACTTCATTTGGACAGCTTTAAAGGCGATTTTCTCAATATTTAGATTTTCAAATAGTTGTATCTTGGTCAAATATTGTCCCTTCCAAAAAAAGCTTTCAGATGATGTATACATCTCAATTTCAAAAAATGTACCCTTATGACTGGTATTGTGGTCCATGGTCACACACACACATATTATATGTATACACACATACTACCGTTAAATAGTTTGAGGTCAATAGGATTTTTTTTTTAAAGAATTCATATTCAGCAGGGATGCATTTTTTTTTATCAAAAGTGACAAACAGCATTTATGTTACAAAAGGTTTCAACAAAGCATGTATGATGGCTTCCAAAAAATATTACGCAACACATCTGTTTTCAATATTAAAACTAATAACAAATGTTTCTTGAGCACCATATCAGCATATTAGAATGACTTCTGAAGGATCATGTGACACTGAAGACTGGAATAATGGCTATCAAAAATTCCGTTTTGCCATCACAGAAATAAATTAAATTTGTGAAATGTATTAAATGAAAAGCTATTTTAAATTTGTACACAGCATATTAGAATGACTTCTGAAGGATCATGTGACACTGAAGACTGGAATAATGGCTATCAAAAATTCAGTTTTGCCATCACAGAAATAAATTAAATTTGTGAAATGTATTAAATGAAAAGCTATTTTAAATTTGTACAAATATTTCACGATATTACTGTTTTTACTATATTTTTGATCAAATAAATGCAGCCCTGGTGCACATAACAGACTTTTTAAAAGCACTACTCAAAAATTTTGAACAGCAGTGTACTGTAAATATTATATGTATATATAGTTTAAACTGTATCAGGTGCTAGTTATATGTACATACAGTAGTAAAATAGTATTTGATTTTCTCATGTATGTATACTGTACTCACACATGCAGTATATGACGTATACAATTGGCTGTCAAAACATATATTAGTGTCAATGATCCATGAATCTCCTGAAAAGAATTCATTTATGCCTGCTAGCTCAATAAACACAACTCTTGTTACCCAAAACAACACTTACTTTTTAACTAACATTTCTGCAGAAGTACCTGCATTTATGTGGTCAATGAAGTGCAGCATTTAAAGAGCAAACAAGTTAATCTCATAATCTAATAATAGTAATGTGGGTTGGCCACAGAGAGTTAAAAATCTGATATTTAGCATTCAGGAGGGCTGTTTTTAATGCCATCTAGTGGGAAGAGAGGCACGAGGTTTAACAGGAAAAGCCCAATAAATCCCTGGAATTAGCAGAACATTTCCATGTCACTACCTTAGAGGCCCTTCTAGGATTTGGGCTGAACCGTCTGGCTCGATCCGTCAAAGTCTCGATTATCTACCAGCGCTCAAGTCGCGCTAATGCTAAATCAATTATGAATGTTATGATAAGGCCCACAATGAATCTCTGAACTCTTTTTAGTTTCTCCACGGATTGTGTGTGGAAATGTTGTGGCATGTATTGGAATATGGACAATGGAGCTTATTACTGGCATCTGAAAGCATGATGAAATTTAGCCACAATATTTACATAAACATACAAGGAGCGTGGGATGTGTTTTGAATGACTGACATTCAAGTTTGACAGAATCCGTGGAGCTTTCTGTGGAATTCTGAGCTGTGGATTACGTGCAGGTCTGCTTGTGACTAATGCGCTTTTCACTTCGGCCAGTCATAACAAACAGAGAGAAAATCAAGGAAATGGGACAATCAAAGATGCCAGTCACTCCCTCATGCTGCAGTTCCTCCCCATATACTAAACAGAAACCAACAAAGAATCAAAATTACACGTCCAACACACATTTAGTCTTGACCTGGATTTAATCTCCCTATGGCATTTCTTAAAGAGAAAGAAAGAAAGAAAGAAAGATTTACATAAACATACAAGGAGCGTGGGATGTGTTTTGAATGACTGACATTCAAGTTTGACAGAATCCGTGGAGCTTTCTGTGGAATTCTGAGCTGTGGATTACGTGCAGGTCTGCTTGTGACTAATGCGCTTTTCACTTCGGCCAGTCATAACAAACAGAGAGAAAATCAAGGAAATGGGACAATCAAAGATGCCAGTCACTCCCTCATGCTGCAGTTCCTCCCCATATACTAAACAGAAACCAACAAAGAATCAAAATTACACGTGCAACACACATTTAGTCTTGACCTGGATTTAATCTCCCTATGGCATTTCTTAAAGAGAAAGAAAGAAAGAAAGAGAGAGAGAGAAAGAGAGAAAAAAAGACACTTTCCCTAAGAAATATTTCCATTCTGTCAGCTTTTGTCAAATGAACCTTAACCTTCATTTATTCAAATATGTCAGTCTAGATTCAAGATCAAGACGATCACACAAACAGCACATTCTGCTTAGAAAGGCTAACTACATCCAGATGATTAAGCAGTTTAGCAATACACTTTGGGGTTTGTGTTCCATCTAAATTCATTATCACTTGGATCTTAAAAAAAAAAGAGTCATGGTTCTCCTCATAAAAATTCAATTTCATGATAATAAAGTAGGTAATAGATTTCAATAGCTTATTCCTGAGAACCATTTTATAACCATTATTCAAGGAAATACTCAATGTGGTGACCCAAATATCATGTTATTTTCTGTTTAGAGCCACAACCGTCAATGTGAAAGCACAACATCAGCCTGAAGCCTCAATTTTTATAATTACACAATACACATTATTATTATGTGAATAGTCACAGCTTAATTATACATATATATATATATATACCTGTGTGTGTGTTTTATTATTTGTTAATATATAGTTATATTACTTACATTACAAATTTAAATATATAGTTATATTCATATTATGTATCTGCGTTATGTTACTGATAAATTTGCAATAAAATGTTCTTGTGACATTTGAATGTTCAAAAGCTGTTAAAAATTAATCACCAGATAACAGTCAGTGACGTAAAACAGGCAAGTTGACCAGAAATGACGTTTGTTGTATGCTGACCAAAAATGGCCACTTTCGCAGGAAGTCAGTCTCACAATAATAATGAACTGTTATGACTAGTCATTGCTGAGTGGGATTTTCTATGTCATTTGAATCACTCTTACCCTTAATCACATCTAAATGGTGAACATCTAGTCTGTCCTGCAGACCCAGTCTGGAACAAACAAAAGATAATGACACATAAGGAAGACTCAAAATAATAAATCATCAAGTAATAAAGATCTAAATATAGAAGCTTTATATAGTCAAAGGTGCTGGTGGTCACCTGTTTGCATTTTCCATTGTAAGAGATACTGCTGTCTGGCTTTGATCCAAAGCAAATACCCTGAGCTTAAAGAATCATGGGTACAGATGTTACAGATGACACGCTACATTACTCGGAAGAGCAAGATAAATAATTAGAAAAAAAGACACTGAGTGCAAACCTGTGGAATGCTGTGTAGTAAACTAAGAGAGATGGCTCCAGATCCACAGCCCACCTCCAGACATCGTAAATCAGTCGTGTGCGATTCCTCCTGTATCGACCGGAGGTCCTCGAGAACCAGACTAACCAGCTCCTACACGCACACAAACCAGCGGGTCCAAATGGAAATAAATGTTTTCAAACACACAGCCCGTGTTTATCCAAAAAGTCACGTCCATTTGAAGTCCACTCTCAGTTTGTTGCAAAATTCGGACATGTGCTAACTAGGTCACTGAAGTTTTTCACCTCTGTTTCAGGACGAGGTATGAACACGGGAGGCTTCATCTTCAGGGTCAGGTCTCTGAAGTCCCATTCCTCAATCACATACTGTACAGGCATCCTAAAAAAAACACATTGACAAAGGTCAACAGGCAATCTATCTTCTGGTGCTTTTGCAAATTGTCAGCTACAGTACTTTTAACTACATAATATCAGTCCCAAATCTAGAGTAAGATAGTTTTGTTTTGTGAATTTAAGGAAATATTGTATTAAATGTGTTAATTTATTTGTTCAATTTTGTTTACATCTCATTGTTTCTTAATTTACTTTGTACAATCTTGTGGTAACAATCTTTTATTTGCTAACATTAGTTAACTACATCAGTTAAAATGAACTAAAAATGAAAAATACTTCTAAAGCATTTATTAAATTTAGGTAATGTTAATTTCAACATATAATAATGCATTATTAAAATCAAGAAGTATCTGTTAATATTATTTAAGCTAACATGAACTAGCTAACCAACAGCTGTATTTTTAAATACTGTAACTAAAGTATTGTCATGCAGAAACTAACCTTATCTAATGTGGCCTTATTGTAAAGTGTTACCAATTTAGTTTTTTTGGTGTTTTTTCCATTTTTCAATTTATTATTTGCATATATGCATTAATGCAATGTACCGGTTGAACACTAGTTTTGTCCTTCGCTAGACATAAATAACAAATGATCAGTGGGTGGAAGTTAAAAGTCCTCGAGAATGGTTTAGTGTTAATCTAAAGAGAGTAAATGAATAACAAATGACATTTTGAAGAACTAATGTCTCTCCTTATATGAACAAAGAGGGATGAGACAATAAAAATGAGATTGAGAGAAGTGTAGAAGTGAAAGAAAGAGGACAGAAATGGACAATAAAGGGTGTTAAATAACAATATCAAAGGAAGGAAAGTGTTTCAAACTATATAAAAAAAAAAGAAATAGCGAGAAAAAAACATGTAGCTTTTTAGACACATTTTTTTGTCCTTGAAGCAAATCTGTGATAATAGCTCACAGTGTGTGTGTAATTAAGGGACACTGGTAACGCCTGCCAGGAAAAGTAAGACTGCATTGGTTTCATGGCCTGTGATACTCTACAGTTAAACTCAGACAATTAACCATTAAAAAAACTACCACAAATGCTACTGTTTGTCAGACCTGAGTGATCATTATGAAGTTAATCATAACCTTAAACACTTTGCAAAGTATTTTAAAGCAAGTTTTTTTGATGCCAAGGGTCCCGAAATATGATGATTCTCTTGTGAAAGATCCCCTTTCTAAAAAAAATTAGTTATTTTTTATGCATTAAAGACCCATTTATACTGTGAGAAAAAGCATGGTATTATAAAAACATGCTGTTTGCAAAATTAAATAGGCCTAATTGTTTTTATTTTTTATATTGTTACTGCACTGAAGCCAAGGCAACATTTTAAATATTATGCATATAAAAATACAGATTTAGTTTTTTCGACCCATATTACACTAATGTAAATGTAATTTAATGAATCCAATTCAGTGTACATTTATTAGCAGTGTATTGTTCCAGAGCTGTTTGCAGCTGTTAAATTTGACAGTCCAACAAATACATTTTCGTGTTTAAACATTTTGTAAAATCTTGTAAACATACTGTGTTGGTTGTGGCATATCAGTTTGAATATATGCCATATCTGATACTGTGGGCATCACTAACTGCCTCCAACACATCTCGTTCTGTCTATCAATCTATCTTCCTCTCCTGCTGTTTTTCTTTCTCACTTTCCTTCTATCTGTCACATGATCTACGCTAGACCAACTACATCTATAAAATGCACAATTCAGTAACCTGAAAGGGTCTTGTGAGCAGAATGTGTTTCACATGTACTGTAAACACAATATTGCATTTTGTTTAGATTTTTAAAAAAAACATGGTATTATACAGTATTCAAAATAAATGACCTAACCCATTCTTTTATTATTCTTTTTTTTTCTAGAGCTTTAGAAAGGAAGAGTTGGAGTTTGAAAAATGACAGTCTGAAATTGGCCAAAGACATTTCCAGATGCCATTTCCCCATCCTTTAAACTGTCTCCTCCTAATAAAACAAGTGGCAAAACACCAAAAGGAAAAGATAATGTTAGTTCTTTTACATTTATGTAAATTCCAGAATGTTAAACTGATTTTAAACTGCATAATATTTTTCTCTATTGCAAATATGACAGAAATAATCTAACCTGGATTCATTTCACAATGACAGGGAATAGCCCACTGCAGCTGAGTGCCAGATGTGGATGATAAAAGAATGGGAAGTATATGCAGGCACATATTTAGGATTTCTAACCTGCTCTTGGCATTATACTTTGGCTGTAGCTGTGATTATAGCAACATTTATGTAGGATTTTGTCTTGTTTCACTGAGTATGTGTTGCAGTGATTATGAGCCGCTGAAGGTAAGATTTCATCTTAATCCAATAATTTCTGTAAAAAAAACATGTAGCATCAGATATTGGCCATGTAATCGAAAGAAAACACAAAACTGTATATACAAACATTTTTCCAGCTTCTCAACTTGTCCAAATTTCATTCATCTTCAGTGGTCTAATACCCTGGCAGTGGTCCAGACAGCGTCCTCTATGGCACATATATTCTCAGCAGTGACTCATTCTGGTGTTTTGAGCCTCCTGGAGGAAGCTCTCTTTCTCTCTCCGTAATTCTTCAAGCTGAAATACTGAGAAGAACCTCACAATGCTGCTTTGTCCCTCAAAAACACTGAAGTCATAGTTTCCCAGGCTGCTGCCCCCTGAGATGCCTAGAAGTGAAGAAGCGAGAGGAGGGGCACAGATCTTGGTAAATTGCTTTTGCCATGAAAAAAAAAACAGTACAATACATTCTTGTGCCCCTGTTGGCATCTTCATTGCCCTAATATAGCCAATGATGTTCTATAAAATGTTCCTCAGCCTCCTTCACTTTGCTAAATGAATGAAATTCAGAATTTAAGAATTGCTTCCCTTTGAATTCATGTGCATGAATATGAATTGAATTGGCACCAACCTGTTTGTCTATCTATCTATCTATCGTTCTATCGTTCTATCTATTGTTCTGTCATTATATCTATCATTCTGTCCTTCATTCTATCTATCTATCTATCTATCTATCTGTCTGTCTGTCTGTCTGTCATTCTATCTCGTTCTATCTATCATTCTATATATATTGTCAGAGGTGGACAGTAGTGAAGGATTTTTACTCTGCTTCAAAAGTACTTTTGAAGTGTCTGTACTTTATGTTTTTCTTTAGAAAACTTTACTTCAGAACATTCCATCTATCTATCTATCTATCTATCTATCTATCTATCTATCTATCTATCTATCTATCTATCTATCTATCTATCTATCTATCTATCTATCTGTCTGTCTGTCTGTCTGTCTGTCTGTCATTCTATCTCGTTCTATCTATCATTCTATATATATTGTCAGAGGTGGACAGTAGTGAAGGATTTTTACTCTGCTTCAAAAGTACTTTTGAAGTGTCTGTACTTTATGTTTTTCTTTAGAAAACTTTACTTCAGAACATTCCAAAGCATAATATTGGACTTTGTACTGCATTACGTTTCATATTAAATATAATTTAATTCTTAATTACATTAGAAATCTATTACTTTCTTTTACTCAAGTAAAAGCAACTCAAACAAAGATTTACTTGAGTACAAGAAAGCACTACATTTTTAAAGTATTAAGGTAAAACAAACAACTTTTATTTATGAAATGTAGTGCAGTAAAAAAGTATGACATTATGTTTGGAATGTAGTGAAGTAAAGTTTTCCAAAGATAAACACTCTGATAAACTACAGATACTTTTTAAATTTACTTAAGTAAAAATACTTCACTACTGTCCGCTTGTCTATTGTTCTATCTATCTATCGTTCTAAAGTTTGCTCGTTCAGTCTACCCGTCTGTCTGTTGTTTTAGCGATCTGTCATTTATTCTGTCTGTAAATATGTTGTTTAATCTGTATATCATTCATTCAGTCTACCTGTTTGTCTGTCTGCCTGTTGTTTTAGCAATCTGCCATTTGTTCTGTCTATCGTTCTAGCATTGTTTGTTTCATATTTCTGACTGCTGGTCTGTCTGTTGTCTATTATATATCTATATTTCTGTCTTTTTGTCTAAGTTCTAGATATCTATCGTTCATTCTATCATTTTATCATTTATTCTTTGTCTATGTAACTATCATCTGTCTTTCTTTCTGTCTCTCTAATTCTAGCTATGTGCCGTTTGTTATATCGTTCATTCTATCTACCGGTCTGTCATTCTAGTTATCTATCAATCTATAGTTCATTCAATCAATCATTCTATCGAACTTCGAGGGTTTTGACGTGTTTAAAATAGGTTTGTTTGCAGTAATTAAAATTTAGAAACTGATTTAGAATTTAAAAGGCATTTACAAGTCAGTTCTGGATGTTTAACAGCCCTGCTTGCCATTACTTGGCTTCATTGATGCTTCACAAAACAAACTTGTGACCAAACGTATGGTGGGATTGATTATGATTTATGAATCATTCAAAGATCAGTAATAAAGTCTACCTGAAGACTGGATATCATAATCATAAAAATTCAGTTTTCAAGCATGTGAAAGTGTGCTTTGAAAAGGTCAAGTCTTGTGTCTTGTCAAGTCTTTTTTGCTTGTGTTGGATAGATCAGTGACAATGTTAACAGTATGGTAGTGATATGCTAACCCACATCTATAAATATACCACAGAGTAATGCAGCACACTGCAGACACTGTGCTATTTCTGAAAGAAATGACACAATAGTAGGTGAGATATAGGTCCTATGCATTTCTCACCATGTGTTTGAGTGAGAATGCTGTGTTAATGTATAGGATAGCTCGGATGCCCATTTAACTATTGATTTTGTCATTGAATTCTAATCTCACATCTTATAGTGTTTTGCAGTGTCACTCAGACCACAGACCATTTCACTAAGAGCTTTTCTTCTGCACTGCAAGATTGCAGATAATATGACATGATGACAGAGCTATGATGTGGGTCTCTAAAACCGCAGGTTTAAACACCTCGCTGACAGGAACTGTCAGGCCACCGTCTCAGTTCTCAGAACATCAAATCTTTGAACATCTCTGAAACCTGAATGAACAGAGCTCGTGTTTTGGACATCCTAAATTCATCTTGAGCACTCAAGGTTTTAGATGCAAAACAAATTGGATGTTAAATGAATACACATTTGAACACATCCTGTCATATTATGCAAATCTAATTATGAAACACCCACAGAATAAAAAAAAAAATTAGTGTGAATTGAACATCTGTGCTGTTTCTTATTTCCTTTAAAACAAGATTGTATGCAACCATCATATATTCATCCTTAGTTTTAGACCTCACATTTTCCTCATGAATTACAGGACTGAATGTGTGTGTGACATGGTTTAGAAATGTGGTTTGAGCCTCCATTCCCAGTTTTCCAGGTAACTAACACCCTTTTAACCAGTTCCTGACTAAACTGACAAATGCAATGCTGTGTAGTGATAGTGACCTGAGACGGACTAATATCTCTTCCTTTCATTCGTGTGTGTGTTTTTGTGATGCATCTCAGTATGCATTTTGATTGGTCAGTTGCAGTATTCAAATGACACTTCTGAATGACCATCATCCAGCAACTGTTTCCTGTATGGTTGTGGTCACGTTAAAGGGGTCATATGATGCGATTAAAATGTTTCCTTTCTCTTTGGAGTGTTACAAGCTCTTGGTGCATAAAGAATATCTGTACACATGTCTACGTCACGATGTGGAAAGATTTGCATAACATTGCCCAAATGTTCACGCAAAGAAAAAGGTGTAACTTTTATTCTCGCTGTAGTATTGTTGTTGCCGCTGCCATGTCGTGAAGGCGCTGTGTGTTTCGTTGTGAAAGCGAAACTACTTTGTTTGGTCTTCCAAAAGAGGACACGACTAGAAATCAGTGATTAAGTTGTATTTACAACACTGTTCCAGAACAGTTCAACCCAAATATTCAGATGTGTGCAGCACATTTTATGGAGGACTGTTTCCTGATCCTGGAAGAGTAGACTACAATGCTGGCTGTTCTGACTCACAGATTGTAAGTACGTTTTTTTATATTTAAAGAATTTGCCACTGATGATTCAAATGCGAGTTTTGAGCAGTGTAGAGTAGCGTTTGTAGTTTGTCATTTCTCCGATCACAAATGCAGACATGGTTTTATGTTTACGCGGCGTGATGCAATGCAATGCTTAAAAAGACAGTACAAGTCATTATAATCCATAATTATGTCCCCATTGGATGCAACAAATGCCTCGTTTATAATGGGTTTTAATGTTTTTGTCTTATGCTCCGGCCGGGACACGGCATCACAGTATGGTAAGAGGAGTAACGTCACACGCTTGAGGCATTCAGCCAATCACAACGCACTGGATAGCTGGCCAATCAGAGCACACCTCGCTTTTCAGACCGATGAGCTTTGTAAAAATCGACGCGTTTCAAAAAGGCTGGGCATAGAGGAGAAACAATAATGTACAGTATGTGGAAAATAATGTGTTTTTTGAACCTTAAACCGCATAAACACATTTCATTACACCAAATACACAAAATAATGTTCTTTTTAGCAACATCATATTACCCCTTTAAATCTCTCTGTGGCCTCTAGAAGTAAGGTATAAAAAGTCATTGGTATTGTCAATGCAATAACATTTTTCTTACTAACTATAAATAGGATCAAATACAGTTATCTGGTCAATTTTTTTAAATAAACCTCAACAGGTTGAGTTTAGTGTTCCTCATTCCTCTCCCATAGTAAAATCATTTTACACGTTTAACTCAAATCGTTATTTATTTGTTTGGTAAGTAGTAAGATTAATGCACAGTCTGCTTAGTTATTGCAAAATAAACCTTCGTCAGGATTATACAGGATCACTTTGATCACCCTGACATGCGTGTACTAAAAGGTAATTGTGTCAAGTGTTGGTCTGGGTCCTTACAGCTTTATGTAATCGATTGTGTATAGCCTATAACTCCATATTTTAGTTAATAGCTATGAAAAATGAGACAAAAACAAACACATTGATACCTCTGAGGAAAATGATACCTTGAGCTAAACACATTGGCTTTAAAGAATGGAAGTGTAAACGAAACGCCCAGTGTGAGAGAGTGTGTGTTTGTGTGTGTGTGCCCTGGGAGGGGTGCATATGGAACTGATTGGATTGGTTGAGGGACTGAATTCGACAATAGGAGGAGTCTCATACGACGCTCGGGCGCTAGTCTGTTTTTTGCTTTGCCGCTGAGATTCTAATGCAACGGAGCCCAATCAAGCTCAGATTATGCCATCTCCCAACTCATCCTTCCAGAGCACGCGGACCTGAGGACCACATAAACGGCATGGGCACAACGCCGCATCGTTCATACCGAAACCTCTTCTTGTAGACAGGAATTGTATTTTCTTCAGTCACTTCAGATGGCAGATCTTGAGCAAGGAGGAGCAGCCTCTCCCCGAGCCCAGCAGCTCTTCTGAACGCGAGGGATCTGAGAAAGCGCAGGTGTGCCCGGGGTGCTTCCAGCTGCACTTGTGCTTATTCTTAAGTATCAGGATTACCAGCAGATGTAAACTGAAGGACACTTCTGATAGGTACCGGTGAGGAAGAAGGGAGCTAGCGCGCAAGGCTCAACATATCACTGGATTCTACATTTATACCTCAAGAAAAATGTCATCTCAGACGAAGATCAAGAAGGACAAGGAGATCATTGCGGAGTATGAAACGCAAGTGAAAGGTTTGTATGCTTGCCTTTTAATGAATCGATCTGAGGAATTTACATGAACATCATTTCACTTGGCCTGTAGCGAGATACTTAGATGTTTATATCGATCCGATTCATAACCGGCTTCTCTAAATAAACAAAGATTACTTAGTTTTGCACGATTGTGTGCAACATTAGGTCGCTGTAACGTTTATTCATTAAAATGAGTAGCTATTTTATGTCTCCAGTACTCATCCATGTTTTTAATTTAACTAGTATCTATTTATTAAACCATTAGTCTACTTATTCGTTAGATGCTAGTTGTCACAGTTAACGTAGTAGGCTACGTTCTTCATTACATACTAGTACTTATTCTTTAGCTAGCTATACCAACAGTGATATACAACTAGTCCATTGTTACTGGTAACACATTTTTGCATCTTTGGTTCTGACATCACTATTCACTTCCAACTAGTACTGTATGTCTTTCCAGTTGCTGTGTTGTCAATCATGCTAGCAACTATTTTTTTTAGTATTAGTGTATTTATTACTAACTCCCCCAATAGTTAGCTATATTGATTTTGCTAGTACTTATTTATTACACACTTGCTAGACACTAGTGTGAATTCCATTTGTAGCATTTTTTATTTGACTCTAAAGTAGCCATTCTGACTGGTCATTACATACGTAATGTTACTAGTAGCACTTGGCATAGATACTTGTCTCATAAACAGGACAACAATAATGGTTTGGCATTTGTGCATCAAAACCTGATTGCCTCTCATTCTGGCATCTTGCTGCCACTTCTTACCCCAGTCTTTGATTTTGTGTTTGTTTGGCTGAAGTTGCATTGTGCAATAGATGGGTGGGATGTCCTTGCTGCTTTGTAGCCATCTGTCCCTTCCTAATGTCAAAAATGTGTCCAACAATAACAACATTAGTAGCTTTGATTCTGTTGACACAGGGTGTCCTGCAGCCACAGGAATGGTTTGATATATTCAAATGTGTTTTATTGCAGTGACTCATGCGCTGTTGCACATAAATTCCAGCTATTAATGGTCTGCACATTAAGTGTTTGTGCACTCATATTGTGTTTCGGTGCAAACGAGAAGCTTGGGTGAGGGTTTTTGTTGCTGGGTAGAATGGTGTATTGTAGTGTCATGCTCTCTGCACAATGGGTGGAACTTCAAGGCGACCAGCGAGCTTGGTTAATTCTTCTTCTTTGTTTACAGTTTACTGGGCCTTTTTGGCAGATCTTGTATTGAGGGGATATAAACAAAGATCTATATATAGTCACTATGTATGTAAATACAAGTATTCTAGTGATCAAGTGAGGATGTTTTAGTTGGTGATCTGTTATTGTGAACGATGCACAGATGTTATATATTGTACCCCTCTGTTTACAAGATACTTTCCCCCTCAATGGACCTGAACGACAGTTGGTGTTTGACTAAATGTGTCCATTCACAAAGCATTTTAGTGTCTGTAGTGTATATTTGTTGTTTGTTGAGCTTTTCAATGTTTAGAAACTAACTAGGTTTAGTCTGAAAGGGCGTTGCAAAAGCAGTTCATTCATTGATTGGCTACTTGACAATGACGGTGAAGGTTCAAAGGACTCTGGCCATAACGGAGAATAGTCATTAATTATTAATGGTTAATAGTAATCGCATCCATTTAAAATGTGTTTGCTTATGCAGCAGAGTGGGGTTTGGTAATTTCTACCAGTTTGCTTTATTAATATTCAGCGTTTACAACTGGCTGTCTTGAATTGCTGGGATTTAGTGTAATGTGATGCACACTGAATCTGGTGGGATTCGCAAAGTCTGTTCCTCTACTCAAGGAACCCTTTACACTAAACGTTTCTGATGTGATTCTCGCTTGAGTAGCTTTTGTTAAAAGAGAGTCTTGCCCCTCAGTGTTTGAGAAGGCCACATGGCTCTAAAGCACAGAGGGGCCCGTCCCATACTTTGGATTTACATAACTGTTGTGATCTATAATACTGCCACTCTCTTTTTGAACAAATTCCATTAACATTAAAATGTGGACCAGCCCTTCCCCCATCTGGAAATAAATTGTACCAAAGAATTTAGAAAATGCAGCTAAGCAACTTTTAAAAAATATTGTGAATAATTGAAGGCACAATGAATAATGTAAGAATGAAGATTGAAAAGATAAAAGGTAAAACTAAATCAAGTACAAAAAAGAGATTGAGTAAATAAGAAAGAGGTGGAGTAGTTTAAACTTTGTGGGTGAATCTTTTGGAATATCGCTGCATTACTCCAGTCTTCAGTGTCACATGATCCTTCAGAAATCATTCTAGTAATAATTTAGCACCAAATCAGCATATTAGAATGATTGCATATTAGTAATGGCTGATGAAAATTCAGCTTTGCCTTCACCAAAATAAATAGCATTTAGAAATATATTTAAAATAGTTATTGTAAATGGTATAATTTTCAATTTGTTTTTATTTTATTAATCCAGATTAGTGAATAAGACTGAAATTTATAACAAATTATAACAGAATTTTCATTTTTTGCAACACATGAAAGCTGTGTAACCCCAAGGGCTGCAAATATTAACGACACATTTCAGTGTTCTTTCAGTCCAATTATAGTCCTCATCAATGCATACTACACAGTCAAATCACCATGTGAATAACAGAACAGTAATCACCAAATCATCCTGATAACTTCCGTCTCTAGCGTATGAATCCCACCAGGTAGCAATAACTCACACTGTGACAGAAGTGATTTAAATCTGCATTTCATTACGAGCTTCCTGAAACGGCCCTAAAGAGGCCCAACCATCGCAAACCATTCACTGCGCAAAAAAATAGCATAATATGCATACTGGTGAAATCCCCTGTTAAGATTATACACAATCCTTATGAGCAGCTGAGAGTAAATTAGCATAAACCCACCCACTCCCCGCTCATGCATGTTTTCCACGTGGAACCTTGCTTAATTAAACAGAAGCATTGCGCCCCTGACACATGCACATGCAAATTGCATAATTAATGTTTTGAAATTCACAAGAGCCTTTCAAGCTGTCAAGATGAGTACAGAAGAGGGTCAAATGCAAATATGCTAGATGTGCTATTTACATGTATTCGACAATCAAATAATTTCACTCATTTTTAGACCCAATAAAATAAAAGACACTAAATAGTTCTAATATTAATAACTGTGTTGACAAAGCTCTTTGAAGGAATAAAGTGATTCCCCGTGATTTTAGGCTGTTGTTCCAACTCTGTATGATTTTCTTTCTTCACAAAGAGATGATTGGACAGAATGTCCGAGGTTCTAGCTGTTCTTGGAAAGTGGATGGTGATTTGTACTTCTAAGCCCCAAAATGGACAAAAAGCGGCGAAAAAGCATCAGGAAAATAGTCAATAGCCGTCACACACTATAATCCAAGTCTTCCGAAGCCATATAAGAGCTTTCTGTGTGGAATGTATTTGAAAATCTTATTCATGTTTGCAGACAATTGGAGCCTTGAGATACTTCACGCCAGATTCAACATCCGTGACTTCAAATGCTATTGGTTTTCATGTGTCTGGTGACCACAAAGAACCAATGTGCACAAGTTAACAGTCTCTGGTTACTGTCTATTTTATTGTATGAAAAAAGAGCAGCTTGGACATTTAGCTAAACACTTACTTTTGTAATACATAGAAATGAAAATAATACTGATTTGGAATGACAGTTTTGACTATTTTGCTCCTTGTAAAATCTCTTAGAAGATTTACTTTGGGTGATTTATAAAACAGAGATATAAAATTAGTAAGAAGTGAACATGTTATAATAATTGTAAATATATAGTGTTTACTATACTGCAGAATTTAAATTTTTCGTGTTTTTACATGGCACAGTTTTTTAGTCATACTGTAGCCAATTATTATTCTTAATTTTGTTACCCTTGGGTTTGAGCAGTAAATAATTAAAAAAAATTTTTTTTGACCTTGTAGTCTAGTTTAGTCTAGCAAGACACAAAACTATATTATGGAATTTAATTATGTAAGAAAATTCGTTTTGACTATTTTGCTCCTTGTAAAATCTCTTAGAAGATTTACTTTGGGTGATTTATAAAACAGAGATATAAAATTAGTAAGAAGTGAACATGTTATAATAATTGTAAATATATAGTGTTTACTATACTGCAGAATTTAAATTTTTCGTGTTTTTACATGGCACAGTTTTTTAGTCATACTGTAGCCAATTATTATTCTTAATTTTGTTACCCTTGGGTTTGAGCAGTAAATAATTAAAAAAAATTTTTTTTTGACCTTGTAGTCTAGTTTAGTCTAGCAAGACACAAAACTATATTATGGAATTTAATTATGTAAGAAAATTATATTCTGAAATGTAATAAAGCTGGTTTCTTGTGTATGCGGACAAGTCTTTGCAACAAGTTCTACCAGTTTTTTGTTTATTGTTTAGCTCTTTGTCTGAGGTTTTCTCAGACTTCTTTTTGTTCTAGTCATTCAAAAGAGTTCAATTTGAAAGAAAATGGGGTATGCACTCAAAAAAAAAAAAAAACAGGTTTAACTTGATGAAACAGTTTTATCTTCACAAGCAGTTTCTTGCTTGTTGCCCTCTTTACTAAGGAAACAAAATGAAAGATTCGTTGGCCAACTTTCCCGTGTTGTATTTCCTCAGGTGTTAGATTCTTTCTGTTGTTGAAAATGCATGTTGTTGAATTGTTAGTTGACCGTTTGCGCTTCATAAGCCATGTATGATATGTTATTGCAGGATGCTCAAACAATGTGAGATATGACACAGTAGTCAAAGATTGACTGATAGTTTCTCTGAATGGTATGACTGTGGAGACAATGCTTTAAAGGGGGTCGTTGAATGCTTCGGAAATACAAGAGAAAACTTTAGACAAACTAGTACATCTAGGCTTGTTATTGTAACACAACTGGGAAACATCTGTGCCTGAGTGTCTTTCCCTTTTGTTTTAAATTCTTTTCATCATATGAGGCTTGTAAATTGGTCTACCTGCTCCAGAGCCAGACCCCATTGACCATA